ACTCTGCAGAATCTGTTAGTTCAATCTCTAACGTTCTGCTCTCTCTGCTTTTTCTCATGATAGTAGCTTAATCTGGTCTGTTCCTGTTTAGCCTTTGCTCCATCCTGGATGGAGGCATCAGCTGGAGTGCTGCCATCAACAGCTTCCATTATAAGTTATAGAGCTGGGCCTGTGTTTCAGTGTTTACTCCTGTTTCTCTCCTGTAGCTATGGGCTCAACATTTTCTGTGATAACTGGATGTTCTTTCTTTTGTCCTTGGACACGAAAACTGCCTCAGAGCTCCTCTGATTAACTGTTTCTCAAGCTGAGCTTGGTTCTGACTTTCTCCTATTAAGTGGGACTTTTTTCTCTCCACTCACCGCATGCTTGCTTGGTTTGGTAGTCAGTGATGCTAAAATATGTCTCTTTATGCTCACCCAGGAGGAGAGAGTCCTGCAAATCAATGACCAGATGCAATGAGCTGGTTTTACCCGCTCGTAAAGAAAACTTTAAACCATTCTAACTGGATGTTCAGATTGATTCGACTCTGTAAAGTTTCCCTTAGATGTTGTGAAGTGGCACTATAAAAATGAACAGAAATGAAATAAATTGAATTTAACAGAGCAACAATTCATGCTCCCAGGACAGGATGGGGAACAAAGTGGAGTCTGACAGCATGCTTATTTTACCAAAGTATGCACCACTGAATCTAACAGCAGGAGGCGTTTTTAGTAAACTACAACATAAAGCACCCAAAGTTAATGCTTAAGGTCAAACTAAGCATCAATTTTAGGGTAGAAATAGATTTACAAAGAGGATGGTGCTTCTACAGCATCAGAACTCACTTGCTGAAAGTGTGAATGCAGCTTTACGGCTGGGTATCACTGATTCTGGAGTTTGGGATTAAAATAGGAAGAGATTTATTTGGACATCTCCATAATATTCTGCAGAAAATAATGTTAGAGTTACAGTCATGCAAAAAGTGAAGCATCTTCTTTAAAACCATTTAGGGGCTTCCCTTTCATCACAGCTTTTTCTCAGTTCTGATCCACACTGATGGTGCAAAGAATTAAGCGTGACATGAAAACACTTCTCTCTAGTTAAGACGCTATTCAGTGATGACCTGTTGTCCAACATTACAGAGCAAAGAGTCACAGGGAGATAGTTACTCAAACAGGTATTTTCTACCTTGACCTCAGATTTAGTGTTAAGATAAAAGTTGAAGATATGAAATTTCTGTTCCTTCGCTATAAGGATATATAACAACCACAGCTGGTCCTCTTCTCCTCTCAGAGGAGACAGGACTGTCTGTCCTGCATGTAAACAGTTGAACGCTGATAACCTGCTCCAATCCGGGTTCACTAAGAACGCTGTGGGTTTTCTATTCTAGCAGGCGACGGCAGCATGACGGCTGGGACAGCCCTCCCTTCCTCCACTCGCCACTCACCACCAGCTGTGCTGCTCTAGACTCCTCCCTGGTGCTCCATCTGAAGAACTGCACCACACAGCTCCTGGTAGGCATCTGCTGCCGATGTCTTTTATTTTCCAGGTACCGGGTTGCTGTCGATCTAAATCCTGCCTGTGTAACAGGGGAGTAAGCTCTGTTGCTTTATGCACTCATCTCTGGTTAGTAAAGCTGTCAAAAAAAACACAGGATTGGACACTGCCTGGACTGGATTGTTCTTCTGAAACAGGGACCAAGGGTTTGCATGCATTCAGGTGTGTTTTGGGACCACCATCATGTACCCGCCATCTGATGCATGGAGGGAGCACCTGTCACATCAGCCTGCTGTTCATGAGATGAGCTTAAATATCATCAGAACCAACTAAGATCTGTTGGGAGCATTTGCACAATAACACGAGTCGTTCCAAAGTCCCTTAGTCCTGGAGAGGCTCCCTTTCTGCTTTGGCCTCTCTCATCAGGCCATGACACGGCATGATGAATCAGATTTTTACCTCAGAGGTTTGTTGTTTTAGAACATGAAGATGATCAAACATTTGTTTCCCGCCATGTTGACTTCAGGTGGGTAGTAACTAGTTAAATTTACTCAGTTAGTAGTAGATTCACTGAGCCGTACTTCTTACTTTTACTTTAGTAATATTCTTGTAAAGTATCGCTACTACTGTGCTGGTAAAGATTCTCAGTCATCAGGGTCATAGTCATTCGAAAAAAGTAAAAAAAAACAATCCTCTGGACTTAGTTTGCAAGTTGGAAGACATCTCGCTTTTCATCCAGGAAGCTTTTTCTATTCAAAATGTCAAAAACAAGACCCTTAAACAGAGACTAGTTCATCCTAAAGACAAACCCCCAGACCTAATATTTGGGAGTGGTGTCTGCAGTTCAATGCAGTGAGGAATGCTCTGATCTTTTTATTGGAGAAAACAAACAACCTCTCCACAGACGCATGGCCCGACATAGAAGAGCGCCCTCCTCTGGACAAGACTCTGCGGTACATCTACACCTTGTGGACAAACGAAATTCTTTGGAGAACCAGAATGTTCACATTTTGGACAAAGAAGACAGATGGTTTAAGAGGGGAGTGAAGGAGGCCATCTATGTTAAGAAAGAAAAATCAACCTTAAACAGAGGGGGGGGGTGTACTCAGATTTCAGCTTTCAAAAACCTACAATGCAGCGATGGAGTTGATTCCTTCCCGCTATCATCGCAGCCACAACCCCTGTACAGGAGAGCAGAAGACCTCGCCTATTCAGTCAGGCCAACAATTCCCTCTAACGACCCCCCTTTCAGAGACATAGACAGGTATGGGGCATTGCAGGCCAAAAAGAAGCCAAACGACCCCCATTCCAAAGGGGTGGACCCGTTCATCCATTTTCATTTGCATGTTTTCTAAAATAAAACAAGGCTTTGTTGGGCTACTGTATAAAACCTGAAACTCAACGCTATTTCTGACATTTTTGAATTGAAAACGCTTCCTGGATGGGATGAAAATCCAGTGGAACTTTTTTGGAATGAGTATTGGGTAAATCTCTGACTCCTTTGAGTAATTTGAACTTTTCCACAATCGGGTAAAACTGATTGTGGAAACCAAAATAGACACTTCTCACTGTAAGGGTTGGTATTCAGAATTGTACGTGAAAAAAAATGTTTGGTTAAAAGTATTTCCTCTGCATAAATTTGTTCTTTTATATTCACATCATTTATACATATTGTTTATGCATTTCGTTCTTTAAAATACCAAATTTTGCGCATAAAGTTTGTCTGTCTGTATCATTTCTAAATATTAAATCAGATGTTACACTGCAAGAAATTGAAATTTAAATAAGTGCATTTTGTTTTGAATAGAGGTGGTAAGTGAGACTCTTTGCCAATGGAACAAGACAATTTACATTTAAAATAAGAAAAAAATATAAAGTTATATATAAAAAGTTCTACTGGATTCACTTTGTATTCGTCTTTTTCCTGCTTCACAAAGGTAGGCAGCAGCTTGACAAAGCCATGATGGCAATTATTTTACATCCAAGTAGTATGCAGTTCTTCATATATACACACATCAATTTCAGACAGATGGTATCAGCATTGTATCGGTATCGGCCAATACTGCACAGCCAGATATCAGGTGTCGGTATCGGGGCCAAAATATGGCATCGGCGCAACACTACTTATTATCCAACAATTACTCAGTACTCAAGTAGCCTTTACTCCAAATACTTTTTTTACTTGTGTAAACTTGCAGACGTAGTGCTGCTCTTACTTGAGTCCAGTTTCTTGGTCCTCTATGATCACTGTGTCCGCACAAATTTGGATGAAGTTGACATAAGAACAATTTTGTCCCTCTGTGTTTTAGCGTCTTGGCATGTTTGGTCCCCTGCGCTGTGGAGAGATGTATGCCTTGGACAAACTCCTGAGAGAGACTCGAGTCTTTGAAATCATCCGTGGCATCGTCAGGGATGACCCCAACCGGCCCAGGCAGCCTGCCGAAGGTATGGGACGATCCGCTCTGCTTTAACGCGCCGGAAAAAAAGCTAAATCTTTATAAGTCCTTTTATCTTAAAATAAGTGAATTTATTCCTGAATTGGGGAGGTAAGTACTTTGCCAACAGAACAAGACAGTTTACATTTAAATTGAGAAAAAACAATTGCATTGTCTTATTTCTGTCATGATGGGATTCAGGTTTCTAACCCACATGCAGAACACAACGGAGGCAGATGAAAAGTATGACTGTTTATGTAGATAAACACAAACTTATATGAATAATACTGAGAAGCAGATCCGGGACTGGTCACACAGGGTTCTCTGTAGAGAGGGACAGTTTGGTTAGCCAGGAGGCTGAAGATCTTAGCCAGAGGAATTGTGCAGGTTTGTACCTGTGACGTGGTTCAGGTTAGCAGCTGAGGAGGGGAACCGGGTTGGGTCCAGAGGCTTGAAGTTGGCAGAGGGCTAAGCAACGGCAGGGCTTGACTTCAGACTTATCAGTGTTCAGATCCAGAGTTTTCTTCCGATCCTCTTCTTGAGGGCGGGCAGGCAGGTTCAGACAACTAGATTCTTCAGGTGAGCTCCTGAGAGCCGGCAGGCAGATTTCAGCAGATGAAACTCCTCCAGAGTTCCAGGGTTCAGTCAGGTTTCTTCCTAGGAGGCCGAGAAGACAAAAAACTGATCAGGTTCAAGTTCAGGTTTTCAGGGCAGTCAGAGAATCAGACAGGCTGGTTGGCTCAGGCTTTGCTAACCATAACTAGCTTAACACTCTGGTGCTGGAGTGTAGTCCTGCCGCTGCTTATATGCTGGTCTCCTGATGACTGATGGATCACAGGTGTGGTTGTCAGCTCAGCTCCAGGAGACCTAGAGGCCCCCTCTGCTGGAGGAAGGTGGACAGATCTCCAGATCCCAACAATTTCAAGTGCAAATTATCTAATTATTATCATTCCATTGGCAGAGAATCTTATTGACCTTATTAAAAGTAAGGGTAATAAACTTAATTTAATAAATGTTGGCTTCTTTCTAGATTGGGTTTGCAGGGTACAATCTAAAGGATTGGGGAAGCAGGTGCCTTTAAATCTGAAAAGGGTTATCAATGATTTTAATTTAACATCTTGAGATGTTTCACAGATCTTAAAATGAAGAGAAGTGTGGACAACCTTGTGCCATCCCTTCATTGGACTGCTGAACAATGCAGTGGGAAAAAAGTATTTAACTATTCACCCCAGTTAAATAAAAGTAGATCGATCGATTTCACTCATTCTGCACTTCATTTTCATATCTTCGCAAAGAGAGAACAGTTCATCATATGGCCCCTTATTGCACTTTAATCAGCCCTGTTTTGATCTGGGCAGTGTTCGTTTCCCCTCACTTACAATAATGAAAACTAGTCAGAGTCAAAACAAATTACAGACACTTTGATTAAACATTAAAATGTTATGAATAAACCTTGAGAAAGAATCTGTCTTGTTCTGTGAAGAAGGTGTGTCATGTCTACAAACACCCCTCCCTCAGGCATTGTTTGGCCTTGCCTATGAAACAGATTGAGTGAAAACATTTCTAGTGTGTATATAGGATAAATTTATATATGAAATAAGAGAAATCTAAATTTTCCGACCACAACAACAGACTTCAGAGAGTTTTTCAGACCTGCTCCAAGACAGCGACTAACATCTGCAACGCCATGAATATTGAATTAATTTTAATTCCATCACTCAGGATTAAAACTAGTTTCTCACCAGTGGAAACATGTTTCATTGCTCCCAGTCCTCCCAGTGATAATCGCATTGATTCAGCTCCAGGTCAGACTAGGCAGAGCTTCGTCTGAACCTGCAGAAAACCACGCAACGCACTGAAGCTCATACAAAGTCAACATTTCTGGTGGTTTGGACATTTGATGAGGACAACGTCTCCACTTCAAAGAGAGTTCTGTAACATGGCTTATTTTCATTAAAGCTGCAGCGACAAAAACACCTAAACAGACCTCATGTCTGTAGAAACAAGACATCTTCCCAGTGGTCAGGCAAACAGGTGGAGGGCTCAGGGTGTTGGACCAGGACACATTTCAGTCATTAAGTCGACCACCAACCCTGATCCACTCTTTAAAATAGTATAGAGAAGAACCAACATCCTCTCTTGCCTAAATGTTGGATTTTTTTTTTTGTGTTCTTAGAGATGCACCAAATCTAACATGGTGCCAAGACAGAAAAAAATAATCTGATAAGATGACCCAATGTTCAGAATCAGACTTGAATGTACTGAAAAAGAGGGACCTGGAGAGTTTCCTGCAAACCTCTAAGAACAATAAAAAAGGGGCCATATCTGTCTGTGATGATGTGAGAGAGAGTCAAAAAGAAAAAAACTGCTGAGATCTGACACTGCCAAAAGCATCAAACAAGGGTTCTGAATGTTTTAACTTTGTCCTGCCGAGTTCATCAGTGAAACCCTCAACGTTTTCTGACTGAACAATAAGAATAGAGCATGACATGCATGGACCGGTACTCCTCGTTTAATGAAAGACAAACCCACAATGGCCGTTTTGGGAAGGGCCATTTTGAACAGCTGCTACTGTACTCCAACAAGTGGTTTTTAAAAAGTGAACTCATGAAACAGGCTTGGACAAAGAAGATTGTACCCTTAACATCCTAATGACTCAATCGCTGCAATCAGATTTCACTTGTTAAGGTAATTACCATTGAAGATGTCTGAGTTTATTACACCTTGGTATGGGCTGCCTGTTGCGTGTCAGAACTGATGTTTTAATCTAATTAGGTCCGTCTGGATATACAGTTATAATCTTCATTCTGTACGTGGCAAAGATTTGGAAATGGAATTAGAGCGGCGTCCTTTGCTAAGAACAAAGTGTAATATTTTGTTAAGGCTGGAGCCATGGATGTCTAATCATCTACTAATGTCTATGATGTAAAATAAGATGATGTTGCAGACTGGAGATGTATAAAATGCCTCTTTAACTGTTATTCGGGGCCACTTCCTGAGAGGGGAACAGCTGCCTTCTGTAACTCAAAGCAACTTCTCTGATCTGAGTAAGAGTAAGAATTTCTATCAGAATCTGTTGTCATGTCTCCTGGTTCTTTAATACATATAAGCTATGAAGAGTTATTTAAAGAATTTGTCCCTAGTGATCTCTTTTCAAGGAAAAACCAGAGAGATAGAGCATCAAGGTGCATACACAGATTGAGACATCTGCTCCTCCCAGCTGCTATTTTGGCCTACTCCTCATCTATTCGTCTGTCATCTGTTTTTCATTAGCATTTATTTAAGTTAGTTATTTATATAATAATTATCTATACTATTATTATGGAACAAACATG